ATCATATGTGGTCGTTGGATATCTTTTGATCGGACGGTTGAGATCTGCGGCGGATGAAGAAAATGATGAAACCCTAGCTGCTGGTTCTGGGCTTATTGGGCCTCCGTGTTTGGATCTTCTCGGGTTTGGGCCTCTAATGTATCTTCGGGTTTGGGCCTCCAGGTTCTTAGCTGAAAATGAGCTTCAGGTTTTGTAATATTGGGCCCTGATTTATTGTATTAGGCTTGTAATAATAATAACATTAATATAATATTAATATTAATATTAATATTAATAATGAGAACTAACAAAAACTAGTGTCGACAGTGTGTATTTTAAAAAAACTTTGAATTTAACCTGTACCAAACACTACGGTCATGGGACAAATCAAACTATGACATTCTCTGTCACATCCCAAATTAGGGGCTAAAAATTAAGAAATTATAAAGTATAGATTTTAAATGGTATTTTGGAAGAAATTGAGGATTAAATTGTAAAATTTCAAAGTTGGAATATCATTTTAAGAATACAGGAAATTCAGTAGCTAAACTCATAGTTTAACCATTTTTCTTATATGTTGAAAATATAAACTCATTTCCCGTATGTTTATGTTGAAAATGTTTCCCATTTCCTCTTCCCCTCAATCCTCCTTTGAACTTCGATCTACTCACTGTCTGGCCACCGTTTGATGAATCAAAACCACCATCGTGTTCGTTGACGACCGATGAACAAAACCCCTCAAACCTCTCGTCGTGAATCGATACCGTTCGTCGTTAATTTCAATCGAAAGTATCATTGATTTTAACTAAATTTCTGTTGGTTTTGCGTCGATTCACGTCGATCCGACAATCTGTTTTCGACACCTCCCGCACCATCGTGTTCCTTGCATCGTTTCGAGTCCACCAGTGTCCTCCGTGTCTCCGTCGTCGCCGGCGCGTGGAGGGGTGAGAAAGTCAAGGTTTTTTGATGTTTCAGAATCGAGCTCTCTGCCGTTCAAAATTTTGAACCGAGCTTGGTAGGTGTCTCAAAATGCCATAAAATAATTTTTAGAAATTTTTCCGAAAATATTTTGACACTCCACGACGTCGCACGCACCGTCCCTGCGCATGGGGAAGGCCTGGCGCATGTGTAGATAGAAATAAAAACCGGTTTGGATCGGTCCGACCCGACTGATCGACTGACCCGTTGATCGAGCGTTGACCGTTGACTGTCGTTGACCACCTTTGACCAAAACTTTGACCAACCCTTGAACGACTGTTGATTTTTTTGGGTATACATATCCTAACGTTTTTGGACGTCCTGAATCCATTTTTGGATGTCCTGAATCCGTTTTTGGGGTCTATTTCACCAAATTCGAACCCGATAATATGTTTTTCACTGATTTATCACCTGATTCAATCTATTTTTTGAAATTAAGTTCCGTTTTTTATGAAATTTATATTTTTATGTATTTGAGGAATTATTGGAAGTTGAATTAAGGATCAAGGGCGTTCGTATGGAATTTAATGGTTGATCAATATGACACGAAAATCGAGGTAATACATTACTACATCTTTATGCTTTATGGAACATGTTGATAATTGATAAATGCATGGATGTATATGAGTGGACTATTATGCATGTTTGATTATGGATGTACTCTATCCGAATTCGCTTAAATGATAAATTAAGAGAATACTTCGATTAGGTAAAATTACGAAATTACCCTTATGTTGTAAAAAGATAAGATTTGACCATGAAAGATGGATAAGGGGTTTTTAAAGACATGTTGATCTGATGAAACTACTTATGTGCATAAGAAATGCTAGTTTTGTTTAGGAAATTTGGATAACCGGTTTTTATCCCCAAGAGGGTTTATGCAAGATATTAAAAGTCTGTTAAGGAATCATTTCGAGATCAGAGAATGTTCGGGAAAACAATTAACCATAGGATCTCAAAATTATAATTATTTTCGTTAAAAGACAATACCGAAATTATTTGGTTATGAAATTATGAAAATGCCTTGAGAGGTAAAAATAGTCTAAGTTGACGTTGAATTAGAAAGTAAATTGAGAATTTGCATTTATAACTGATTAATTACTGATTTAATGGTTTAGATTCTACTTTTGTATGGAAAATTCCTGATAATTCGTCAGTAATATCTTAAAGGACTTTTAACCTGGAAATCTCCGAGTTATGAGTAAATACCTGAAGAATAAATTTATCGAGGGTGCTATCCTGTCAAAATTGTTCAAAGGGAATGGGATAGATGATAAGTCTGAATTAAATAATAAGATCGGACGGAAGGAAATAATTAAAATACGCTAGATTTGTAAAATGACCAAAATACCCCTATAATGGAAATGACTCAATAATATCACCAAGCTTTGTAATAAATGGATATCCTCAAGCATTGAAATGAATGGAAAACATTGTACACCAAAATAACCAAAATGCCCTTCTGGACTAGACTATGTAAATGTCTTGGATTAATTAAGAAATCCAAATAAATATGGGTGTTGTACTACCCTTAAAAGTTATGGAACACCACTTAAGTGAGCTGATCAACCTTAATGATATGTCAGTACCTGAACGACATGGATATTACATGAATGTGTGTTCGTCTTCTCAAGTTTGTCTAGATGATAATTTTGAAAGTATTCAGCTCAGCTCAACTCTAGATCGCATTCAATACTAAGAATTGGATATTTGTTCGACAAATCGACCATGAGGACCGAACTGAATTGAACTGAATGGAACTACAATATGTATCAAAATTCAGAAATGTCAAAATTACTCTGGAAAACTATGAAGTAACCGGGATAGACTTAACTAATAAATGAAATAAGTAACCTTAATGATTGAGGATTAAGTAAGTGATTTGGATAAGTCTAGAAAACTCTGATGAGTTTACATAGTGTACCATTCATATGGGTTATGAACCATAAATAAAGTACATCAGCATTTTCTGATATCGTGAAGCGTGGAAATGAAATAAAGACCATTGGAAGATCTATTCAGCGATGATTCTGAAGATGAACCAGGACAAGAATTTTTTGTATTAAAGAGTAAATACCCTGGAAGGGCAATGAATTGACCAGTCAACAAGTATCAGTTATGGGAGTTGTTCGATAATCCGATCTATCGACATAGATTGTAATGTTCTGAATCTTCATCTCTTCCTTATCAGCTCAAATCATATTCTGAATAACTGATGATTTCGTCAGTTAATGAACTTTTTCAATAGTGATTCTAACCTATGGTATTCTATCGGTATACTGAAGATCTGTGTTTCTCTGCCCAATAAGATTATCCAGTATCTCTAAATAATGTCTGGAAACTCTAGTGTGTTCCCTAATCACATGAATGTTTTACCTGATTTCTGACCTGGATTCTGATATGATATCTGACCTGGATTCTGTTTTAATACTTGACCTGAATTCTGTTCTGATATCTGAACTGAATTATGTTTTGATTTTTGATATATCTGTTTACTGACGGAAAAAGTTTTATTTGGGGAGTAATGTTGGAGGAAGTATACCTGGAGGCTCCTCGGCTTTGTGCTCAGGGCATTACTTACTGGCTTCTCGGCTTTGTGCTCAGGGCCTTACTGGACTTGACGGTGGGTGTATGGTTCTGGGGAACCTAAACATTTTGGACTTGACGGATAGGGGTAGTGTTCATGTTTTTAAAACATGTTACATAAACCGATTTTACTGAAATATTTTATCTATTTCTTTTCACTGGTTTTACGGGAGCATACTAGATAACCTATTCTGATCTCCTGAACCTAGACATACAAAATATTTTCATTTGAACTGAATACTATCTGTTACTACCTGAAATATCAATGGGACCTCAGCTCAGCCTAAAAATCTGTAGATATCTTAACCAATAAGGAAATATATGTTTATTTGTATATGCACGTTCTTCAACATTATCTGGTAGTTTTGTATTACTGAGTTTTTCGAAGCTCACTCTATTACTCATCATTTCAGGTTAAAAGAATTATACCAGTGCAGTTATCGACTTCAGTAAGGGAGTTCTTCCGGCGTTGTTTGCAGAGTATGGTATATGTGATTAGGGGGCATGTAATTGTATTTTGTTTTATATACGAGTTTGAAAATATGTTTTGTAAATCATTTTATAATTTACATGTTTTAATAAAAGATTTAAATTTTCCGTTATTTTTACAGTGGGTCGCTCCAGTAGCCCTAATGTGACACTCCAGATCGGATCGGTCTGAGGGGGTTACATTCTCGGAGTAGATAATAGTTCTCGACACTTTTTGATTTGATTATGATTGTTGTTTAAATCACATAAACCAAATTAGACACTAGATCCCTTCTTAAGCAAGGTCAGCGTTTCGAACTTTGGCGATTGTGAATGGAGTAAACTGGGTTGGGAGGATCACCCTTGCCTCTACAGTACCCGAATTCCGGATTAGTCAATCAATAAATCAGATACAGGTGATTATACCATAAAAATTAGAAGTGCAAACTAGTTAATATTTCCTTGAGATTGCTTTATACTATTCAAATACACCATTAGACATTAGTGACTTGTAAACTATAAAGTTTATATTTGACAAATAGGCTCACTCTTAAATCAACATAATTTAATACGTATCTTTGATAAAAAAAACTAAATTAGGAAGTATATATTTTAAATATTTTTTAATTATTTGACAAAGAATGTTTAATCATTCTATTGCAGTCATTGGTACTCGAATCTGTGACCTCTAGGAATAACAACGATTCTTTTAATTAATGGAATGCCTCAATTGAAACAATGTTGTAAAATCTTATATAGTATGAGATCAAATCTAATTGATTGATGAAAATGTACATAATTTCTTCTTTACCAATTTCCTTAATTACCACAAAAAAAATTGTTATTTTACATAAATACCTTTGAATATGATTACTTCCATCCTCTATAAAATGCACATTCTTTTTTGTTTTTATAAGAAAGTAATCAAAGTATCGTGCAGTTAAATCCCAGCAAAAGTAATCAAAGTATCGTGCAGGTAAATCCCAGCAATGGCAATTTTCATGGCGTTTCAGCTTCAGTACGAGGCCATTCATTCGTACACGCCGGTGCATTACATGGTTGGAGATGAAGACGGCTGGGATCCAGTTATCAGAATGGAAGGCTGGACCCAAGGGAAGGATTTCCATGCCGGCGACGCTCTAGGTACGTAATGAGTTTGTTACATAGTTCACCATCGATTGCACTCTCTGCTTATAAGTGATACGATCAAAATTTTATCATCAACATTGAGATCGATATGTTTGGTTGATCTTATTTGTACAGTTCGTATATGATAGGGGAATCGATGTGTCTATAGTGGACAAAGAAGCACACGAAGATTGCAGTGTAAACGACACATCTAAAGAGTTCAGCACAGGGGACGATAGCATCACACTTGCGTTCGGAGTCGATTATTTTATTTACAGTAAACCTGATATTTGCCGTGCTGGGTTGAAAGTGGCCATCAACGCTTCCGCACCACCACCTTCTGTTTAACTACAATATATATACCTTCTTTTTTGTTCACGTTTCCATGAAATAAATAAATCAAATCGATTCTATGCTGTATCTCGACATAATTACACTAACAAATTGACCCCTTTTTCTATTTTAGGACTAAAATAAAAGAAAATAAAAATATAGAGACCAAAATAAAATTTTAAAAATCGAGTTATTTAAGTGTAACGATAAGTATACTAAAGGAATTTAAATTATGTTGATGTTTAAACCATAAATATATTATAAAACTTTAAAAGGAAATTAAAATTATAGGGACTAAGCACTAAAGTTATTACTTTTAGAGGTCTTAAGTTCTAGCACTAGAAACTGTAGGAATATAAGCGTTCATATGTAAACAACCTAGATTAATAAAAAAAAAAGATATAGGGACTAAAAGAAAAAATAAAAAGTTTGAAAATGTATGTTTAATTTTGAATATTTTGATATTTATTAATAATTTTAAATCTTTAATTTTTTAAACTGTGATACTATGGATTTGGTGACAACTCTCATGACTTTCTAATTTGATTGTAGTTTTTGTTTGAACTGCATAGACCAAATCAAAAGAAAATTTAAAGTACTTTATAGTACAATTACATATATCAAATTATTATAAATAACGTTGTTGAATGTGAGATTTTCATGACTGGGTCCTTGATATTTAGTGTGAAGTTATTAGGGAGGTTTCTTGATTTCAATTAAGTCGTCTTCTAGTAAGATGTTTAGGGTTCTCTTGATGACAAGAAAACTTACAGAGAAGGATTGTCTTGGGCCTATTGATAAGATTAGAGTTAAGTTGACTCTTCAGGCAAATCGTCACCTTTGTTTTGCTGGGAGTTTGCAACTTATTAGGGATGTTCTTTTCAGCATTGCAAATTATTAGTGAAGAAAATTAATTCTATCCCAAGTTACGATAAAGAGGTTGAACAACTTTACTCTCATTTCTTCTCAAAAGGTGCAGATGTGGCTGCTAGGGGTGCCCGAGTCAACTGGAGGTAGATTTGTTTGCAGAGGTCTCAATGAGGGCTTAGTGTAAGGGACATTGCTAGTTGGAATAAAGCTTGCATTTTACAACTGATTAGGAACATTCTGACTGGAGAGGTCTTCTTTTGGATGACTTCGCTTAAGGAGTACATGTTGAAGGGTGTGAAATTTTGCCAAATAGAGATCCCCACTAACATTAGTTGGAGCTTTAAGAAAATCTTGAAGCTCAGACCTGAAACTCATCGTTTGGTTGCTGATGTTGGTGTTAGTCTAATGAAGGCTAGCAGAATTTGGGACAAGCTTCGAGTTGAGCATCCCAAATTTTTGTGGTATAGTATTGTTTGATTTGCAGGTTGAATCCTCAAACATAGTCTTATTGTCTGGATGGCTATTCTTGATCATCTTCCTACAAATGAGAGGCTATTGAGAATAGGTGTAAATGTTGGTAATGACTTGTGTGTGATTTATGGTTGTCAATCAGCAAGCAGGGACCATATATTTTTTCACTATGGCTTTGCTAAGGAGCTTTGGGAGGGTATCTTGATTTTGTGTGGTCTTCCTCGCAGGGCTAGCTTTTGGGAGCTTAAAGGTAAGTCCCTCCTTGCTATGGTCTTCCTCGCAGGGCATCTTAAAGGTAAGTCCCTCCTTGCTATGGTTCTTAAGCTTGCTTGGGGTTGTCATATGTATAGTGTATGGGAGGAGAGGAACTGCAGACACTTCTGGGGCACATCCCGCTTGGTTGATAATGTGTTGTAGGGCATAAAGAAGGTGATGCAGATTCGTCTTAGGGGCTGAAAGATTGCTAAAGTTTCGATGAATGTTGGTCTCTGTATTCGATGGGATACTTCCTAATTTAGTTTTCGAATTGTATCCTGTTTTCTGGTAATATTGTTGTTTTGTAATTAGCAAGTTTTTGCTCTTCTTTTGAGTAATATAAAGAATGTATCCAAAAACAAGTTATTATAAATAATGATATAAATGTATAAGAATTTTATTTAAGTCTAATAAGTAAAAAAGAATGTAAAATTAAATATTTAAAATTACCGATAAAAAATAGAAATTTAAATTAAATATCAAAATTATATATTTGACGACAAGATGCTATTGACGTCTGGTCAATGTGTAGACATCAAAAAATTATGTGGATTAAAGAATATGTCTCAATCAGACATTATACTTAAAAGTTGTGATCATTCAAAATTTTAGACTATATTTATTCTTCAAACACCAAAATTTAATTTTAGTCCTTAAACTTATTGTTTCACATAAAAAGGATAATCTCTGAAAATCTATGCTTTTTTTTTTATAAATACTGACTTTTATTTATCCAGAAAGTAGCACAAGCTACCAATAAAAAAGAATCCAAATTACCCAAAACAACTCACACCCCAAATCAAGCAAAAGTAATCCAACTTCCACTCAATGTATAACTTCCTATTAATCATACCTAACCTATTAACATTGTTCCCTGAAAGCCTCCATCGAACCGCAGCATGTACTTGGCTGTCAGTCCCCAACACAGAACCCTTCTTCCCCTAGAAAATTCTTGAATTTCGTTCTCTCCAGGCAGAGTAAATCATTGAATTCCAAGTCATCTTCAACAAAACAGAGAGAAGAGATTTTCCTTTAAACCTGCTAGTTGTCCAGTTCAGCTCAGACTGCCAATCCACCACCTGCCTCGTAAGGTCACAAGCTCTCAAACTCCAATCCATCTTGAGAAAGGGCATCCAAGGAACACATGATTCCTTGTCTCCTGATCTGTCACACACAAAACACGCATTCCCTCTGCATGAATACCGAAAGAAGCAAGCCTATTCAAAATGCCAATCCAAGTGATCATTGAATGTCAAGGAATATGAAGACCAAACCAACTCGTGCTATGGAACCTTAATTCCCCTATTCCTAACAGTATCCCAGATTTTACCATGATCAAGAAGAATGCCATCAGGAATACAAGCCCTGATCTTCACGAGCCTCCTCCAGATCCAACTACACCCCAATTTAGGCTACACATACCATAAATCACTACCCTTCAACATGTACTCGTAACTCCAAGCCACCCACAAAGAACCATCCTTTATCAAAATATTCCTAACAAGATGCATCAGACAAGCCCTATTACAGGCATCAAGATCCTTGGTCTCAAGCCCACCCTCCAACTTAGGAAAACATATAGAACTCCAACTAACCTGAGCTCTATTGACAGAAGAGTCGCAATTCTCCGAAAAGAACCAGGTACAAAGCTGACTAATTCGTTGCACCACCTTTTTCGGCAAAACAAATTGTTTGCTCCAATAATTCTAAATGTTAAAAATAACAGCTTGAATAAGTTGCATCCTGCCCACATACGACAAATGCCTAGAAGCCCAGGTATGAAACTGACCTCAATCATGTCCAAAAAAGGCTTACAGTCAGCAACCGAGAGCTTCCTAGTGACAAAGGGTATACCTAAATACCTCACAGGAAGATGCCTCACTTTGACACTTGTTCCCTCCTCGATGAGATGCATCTCCTCCCTAGAAATCTAGTAAAAAAATCTTACTCTTTGAAATATTAAAATGGAGCCCAGAATAGACGTAAAACTCTTACAAAACAGTCCAAATGCCCATAACAAAATCATAACTGCCCTTGGAAAATATCAGGAGATTGTCAACAAAGCATAAGTGTGTGAGCTTGATGCGTTGACATTTAGGGTGAAACTGAAACAACCCATGACTAGTAATAGCATTCAGCATACGTGAGAGAAAACGTTCATCACCAGAACAAACAAGATAGGGGAGAAGGGGTCACCTTGTCTGACCCCCTAGCCCCACTAAAATGCCCCACTAATCCCCCATTCAAAGCCATCGAGAATTTAGATTGAGTAATACAACACATAATCCAATTGTGGGAATATTCAAAGCTTGCAAAATAGTAGAGATAAACCCCCAGCTGACAATATCGAAGGCTTTCTGAATATCAATCTTCAAAGCACACCGCGGGGTGAGAGTGGTTCTGCCAAACCCCTTGATAAGCTCTTAAGTAGAGTGTTATACGTGATACTTCTCCCTTTCATAAAAGAACTCTAACTCCGCATAACTTATAACTCTCTAAAAGAGTTATCATTTAAGATCTTTTTACCTAGGTTGAGCTTGAACTTTAGCATTGTTATGATCATATTATGATCAATTTTTATATGTTTTCATCATTTGCATCATGAGAGTAAGTTGGTGGAAGTTGGCTTGATTTTAATATTTTATGCTAAAAATTGACACGTTGATGTTGTAGCATTGCTTGAAGCTGCAAGAGATGTTGTGTTGTGATGAAATGTCAGGTTGCTAATCAGATCATGCAACAACCAGTGACTCATCAGGTGATTTGAGGAACCTTCTAGAATGGACAACTGGAAGAAGGAAGTTGTCAAGGGATAAGAACCACCTGAAAAATGTGGAGAAAAATTATTGATTGAGGGCCTATTCCCTTGACCTATAAATAGGAGAGCACCTTGCACCATTATCATCATCGAATTTTATTCATCATTTATATTTTTCTCCACACTCAATCCATGATAGTAGCCTAAGTTCATTGCTAAAGAGTGCACCAGCAGCAGTAGAGTAGTCGTGTAGCAACAGTGACCGATAAGGTTTTAATATTTCAATTGTGATATTGACTTGAGAAGGGAAATACACTCTACGTTGGATGACTACTTTTTTTATTTTTTATTTGGTACCAAACATAAGGTGTTGAATGAATTGTTTAACTCTTGGTTTTTGTTTTGATCTATATGTTTATGAGTTGCATGTTTATTAGATGTTTATTAGAGATAATTACATTTTTATGAATGTTTATCTGGGTTTTTTTAGAGATAGAAATTACTGAGATTGCATGCTACTTTTGTCCCAGCATTGGTGTTTATGAAAGTAGACAATTTCATATAAAGATATATGATGCCAAGTGTTATGCTTTGTTAACTAATTAATCTAAGGCTTTTAATGAGAATTAGAATCATTAGGTTAAGTGTTTATTGTTGGATAACTCATAAATGTATTGTTACAACATAACCTTTTGCTAATAGCAAAGTAAAACAACATCATAGGTCTATCGGTCTAATTACTCTATTGTTTGTTGCAACATTCTTCTACTTTCATTATCTTGATTTTTCTATTTTACTACATGTTTTTTAGTTTTCCAAATCAATCAATTCTCGTACATTTAACTCTATTGTAACGTGTTTTGCTCCTTGTGGGATTCGACACTCATAGTTCTTTTGAGCTACCACTTTATTACTTGAACAATATGTATACTTGCATAATAGCTATAACATCTTACATAGCATCAATAACCACCTCCCCAAAATGCTTGGATAACCTCCCATGATGATATTAGTAATTCATTTATATATCACATTGCAGGAGGAGATAGGCCTAAATTCCCTCACACATGAAGGATTTTCCAATTTAGGAATAAACATAAGAGTGGTGTTGTTAAAAGCTGAATGCATTTGACAATTAGCAAAAAAAATGCAAAATTGCCTGAATCACGCACAACTTTAAAGAAATAGGCAGTGTACCCATCAGGTCCATGAATTTGTCTCCATTTTTCTCAAACATAGCCTCATTTATTTCTTTTGTAGTAACAAGTCTCCCCATTCCTCCCTAACATCACCCGAAAAGGTAACATTCAGAATGACCCTAAGATCATCAATTGAGCATCCAACAGCCTCATAATCAACCTGGCTAAACAACTTCTTATAAAAACTGAAAACTTTCTCAACAATTTCCTCAAAATCCTCCAATTTCCTTCCATCCTCAGAGCTAAACTACGAATGGTATGCTTATTCTGCCTCTTAGCAACTAAAGAATGGGAAAAATTAGTGTTTTTATCCCCTTCCTAAACCCAAGTGACTCAGAACTTTTTTCTATAAAAACTCTATTCCACAGCAAGAAGAACAAGTAGCTCAGCAAACACATATTACTTCCTGGCCACAAGATCCAAGTTACTCCCACCATCCAATATACCCAACTATACACCCTCAAGGGCATTCATCTTCTCTTTAACCTTCCCAGAAATGTTCCCAAAGTGCACATTGAACTACCTTACCAAGGGCTTAAGCCCTTTCAACTTGTAAAACAGCACAGTCATAGGATTAGATCTAGCAATTGGCCTCTTCCAGAACTCCTCAATCAAACCCAGAAAAGAAGAATCACAGCTCTAAAATTTAAAAAACTAAAAGGTTTAGGCACACTCTTAACATCTCTATCAAGATAAAGTAATAAGAGACAATGTTCAAACGCCCTAAGAGCTAAAAACTCAACATGTGAGCTAGTAAAACACTAAAACAAAGCATAATTAACAATTCTATCAAGCCTGTGAGCAAGAGGATTACCTCTTGGTGATTAGACCATGTGAATCGAGGTCCAACACAAGAGTGATAAACCATACCAATAGCAGATAAACAACTCAAAAAGCTCCTCATATCACCATTAACCATATTGGCCCCAGAGAAATCGAACGACTTATCAAGCTGCAAAAACACACTAAAATCTCCTATGACAACCCAAGGCAAATCCTAAAAATCGTTATACAACTCCTACATATGACTCCAAAGCCTAGCTAGCCCTATTAATCCCAAAATTATGAGCATAAATAACAGTTAACACAAAATCATGAACACCAGCTCTAACCACTCGAGTAACACTTTGATTAGAAATAGTCATAAGGCTAAAATAAACATCCCCCTTCCACAACACCCAAATACATCCATAAACAACCTCCCT